ATGCTCACGACTCGTACTCAAGGTTGAGGCTTAAGGAAAACGAAAACCAAGGAAAAGGAAAGGTTCAGAAGCAAATAATACTGCACCCACCTGATCCTACAACAAACCGCATTGATTTTAGCGATAACATTGCGATGCCTTAGCGATACCCAAGCGATACCCCAGTTCTCCCAAATGCACACGATCCTCAACTACTTGTATACACTTCTACTGCTACGGCTTCTGGTTCTGCTTCGTTTTTATTTCTGTTTCTAAAACTATTGCTCATGTTCCTATGACTTCTACTACTACTATTTCTATTGCTGCTACTATTATTTCTACTCTTTGTACTATTTCTTTGGTGTCTATTACTTCTATACTACTCTATCTGCTACTGTCACTACTGTACTGCAATTTCTACTATTTACTACTTCTACTACGACCACCACTACCACTACTATACCACAAGTTCTCCTCCTCCTCCTCCTCCCCCTACTACTGTAACTACTCCTTTCGCTACTCCTTTTGCTACTCCTTTTGCTATTCCTGTTACTATTCCTGTTACTACTCCTGCTATTAATCCTGTTGCGACTCCAGTTGCGATTCATGTTACGACGACGACGACCACCACCACTGCACCATGACGACGACGACGCGGCCGACAAGGACGAGGACGAGGACAACGACGCGACCGACGACGACGACGACCGACCACAACGACGACGACGACGACGACTACTACTGCTACTGCTCTGCTACTGCTACTGCTACTGCTACTCCTACTACTACTACTACTACTACTCCTTTTCCTCTTCCTCCTGCTCCTGCTGCTGCTGATGCTACTACTTCTACTTCTACTTCAATTTCTACTTCTACTTCTACTTCTACTTCAACTTCTACTTCTACTTCTACTTCAACTTCTACTTCAACTTCTACTTCTACTTCTACTTCTACTACTGCTTCTTCTGCTTCTACTACTTCTACTACTACTACTACTACCACTAGTACTACTACTACTACTACTACTACAACCACTATTACTACTACTGCTACTACTACAACCACTATTGCTACTACTGCTACTACAACCACTATTACTACTACTGCTGCCGCTGCTACTACTGCTATTGATCATTATCTATTGACTATTACCATATTTCCCGCTGCTATCGCCAGGATTGCGTGACTGGCCTTGCTATACGATTCTGATACTCCCAATAGCTTGGTCTAACTTTTTTTTACTACCATCACCATTGCTAGCACTTCCAGTTCTCCCCGCAATACCTTGACAGTACCAATGCTAGTGGTACTACGAGTGTGACAAGTACTATTCATATCTCTTTTAGCTGCGTTCAGCCTTAGCCATACCCCCTGTAAATCCAAATGGTGCAATGATGGTAAAATTGCTACGAAACTGTGGTTAGCGATGAGACCTTTCCAAAATATTTTCATGAAGAAGAAATTTGGACAACCGCACATTTGTTGTTCAATGAGCAATATTTTGTGATCTTCTTCTCAATCTGCAATACATGTTTGCCACTTGTCTTCTATACAAACCATGTTTGCTGAAACATTTACTGCACAGGACTACAGCAAAGCGGTTGTTTTCCAACACCGACATCGGGCTTCTCATCATCGACGAGGCCAACAGCCTGTTGGCGGAAGAGTTCATGGCAGCAAGCTCACGGTGTAAGGCCACGATCGCCATATACGATCCAGGGCAGAACATGCGACCGGTCGATTGGCGACCAGAAACGTCAGAGACCGACAAGATCAACGCGGCAGACATGCTGGCCGTCAGCCGGGCTGCCAGGCCAGGTCGTCCCAGATAAACATGCAAAAGCATTGCTGAAGACGATAAATCTTTTCTTCAGGTGGTGCCCCTGCTGAAACACTGATCTAACATAGTGCCATTAAGATCACCATATATGTAGATCCGGCAAATATATTCTAATTTTCTACATATCACGATTTCTGCCATTTGCAGTGACATTTTTTGTACCGGCCTGAATTCTGAGTTGCTTTTTGTCAGATCTTCTAGCATTCGTTCTACGTTCTACCTAGCACCTACTCAGATATTCGGCCACTGTTCTAGCGGTCTATCTAATATCCACCCTCAGGAACATCTACAGCAGATATGTTATAGCAGTCTAGCCTACATTCTTTTGAACATATCGTCTACCATTCTGACACCCATTCTGGCATACTCTCTGGCATATAAGATGACAGTTTTCGGTCATGCTCTTTAAATAGCATCTCCTGAAACTTTTTTTCCGATCTATTCTAGCATTCTATCTCGCATCTACTCCAAAATGCCAATGGACACACAGCCTGATATGGCTTCGGACCTTCCAACCGAAAGTATTTATCGTTTTTTTTGAGTCTCTCTTTTTTTTTATCTGACAGTCTTTTCTATCATTTTCTGTGGTTGACTTTCGGTTATATGAGTATACGACAAAATTCCCTGAATACTAAAGTAGCAAAGAGCGGACATGAACATTGCTTACCCTTACGAAAAACCTTCACAACCGATAAGGGGCCGACCCAGCACCGATACCCCTAGATTCCAACGCGTTTCCACACTACTTTGCAGTAGGGGGCTGCCTGGCGCATATTTCTAAAACAACGGCTACAGACAGTGGTATACCTTTCCTCTTAGAAAGCACCAAAAAGTTGTTTGCAGTAATTGTTCACCGATACCCCAACCGATACTAAACGATACCAGTTTTGCAATTTTCCTCACTTGGCAAGACCATGCCCACGTACTACCACTACTCTTACTCCCACTACTCCTACTCCCATTGCTATTGCTCCTATTGCTCCTACTGCTTCTCCTGCTCCTACTCCTTCTCCTCCTGCTACTATTACGTAAACATCTACAAATGAATTTCACACTGCAACATCAAAAAACAACAATCTTTTCAAAAATGTTTAGCTTGCATTCAGGCACACAGAATATTTTAGATTTAGGAAATAAGTTCACCACGTTGAGCCAAAATAGGCCACATAAAATAGGCCACCAAAATTTGAAAGCCCAACTCCAAAAACGGAAGTATCCGACATAAATCGCGAAACGCATAAACAGAAGCAGTACTAGTACTAGTACTAGCACTACTACTATTGCTGCTGCTACTACTGCTTCTACCATTGTTCCTCTTACTCCTACTCCTCCTCAAACTCCTACTCCTTACAGTATTCCAGCCTACTCCTACTCCTACGACTACTACTTCACTACTCCTACTACTCGTTCTATTATTACTATTACTACTACTGCTACTAGTACCATCAGTACTATTACTACTACTAGGAGGGCCTCCGAAACCCTCTGGAACGTTCCGGACCCTGCCAACCTGCACTTGGCCCTGCACCAGAGCCCTCCAGTACATTCCGCAACCCTCCATAACTTTCCAAAATCTGGGCATGCAATCCGGCACAACCTTACGGAACTTTCCGTAACCTTCCTGCACCTGCGCTTGCAAGTTGCACTTTGCCCTGCACTGGAACTTCCCGGAACCTTCCGGAACCTGCGCCTGCAACCTCCACCCCTGACCCTGCACCAGACCCCTCCGGAACCTACCGGAACCTTCCGAAGCCTGTGCCTGCCACCCGCACCGGCACACTGGAGGCTATCTGGGCTGAAACCCCATGAGCTTACGCTGTTAAGGAAAAATACCTACCAGCCAACATCCTTGAAAGCTACCTGTACAATTTCCTTTAATGATCACAGTTTGCAACCCTTGTGCTACCCAAAGTTTCAAAACATTTCAGTTTCACTTACAAGATCAATTTGAAAAAATTGCGACTCAAAGACCAGATGCCTTTGCACATTGCCAAGCAGATGCTAAAAAAACAATTTGTCAATTGTCTCTGCGGGTCAATCCTCAGAGACAATCCTGTGAGGCTCTCGCTGGACACTACCTATCGCTTGGGCGCCAGTGTTGCTCGCCTCCTGGCCAACAGCATCAGCTGCTACGAGAACCTGGTGAGCTCCGCGGGTCATGATACCGCGATCCATGTTTGGCAGCTGGCTGACACAAGGCCGGGGGACACGACAGCCCGAATTATGCCATCCCATGATCTCCACTTGTCATTCCACTGAATACACAACCGGTCTTGACGCAAGCTCTCAAAATCGTGATTTTCAAAAAAGTGACTGCCGCATCGGCACGTTGTTGCGATGCCCAGTCGACCATGTTTTTTTGCGCCTTGCATAGCGACTGGCGACAAGCCTTGAACCGAAGACCTGGTGCATATTCTGTATATGTATATGTATTGTTGTATGCATATATGTATATGTATATATGTATATATGTATATATGTATATATATATATATATGCATATATGTACATGTATATTCACAAACACACACACATATATATATATATAGTGTTATTTCTGTATTTATGGATATTTATATGTATATATATATATATATATTGAATAATGCATATAGATATTTACATATGAATTGGTGCAATGTCTTTCACCGCCCCCATCCCATTGGTTTTGAAGATTCCATATGTGCACGCACTCTTCCGAAATGTTGTACACGTATCAGAGATATTTTGTGCGTGTGACAGATATTGTGATGTCAGCAGTAAGAAACAGCACGAGGTCATTCCAGCAGCACGCGACTGCAGGGATCGGCGGGGTCCACACACCGGAGCTTTATGGAGCGGTGGAAACCTTGACCCGCCAACTTCAGCGACAGTATCAACGCCTGGCAGTCATCACATGGTATTCTTCGCAAAAAAACATGGTCAAATCCTTCCTTCACCACCTGGACCTGCCGATCGAGACGCTGACGGTGCGGAGCAGCCGGGGATACGAAAGTCAGGCGATCGTGCTGCTGCTGCTGCCGAACAACTTGGCAGATATTTTCAAAACCAATTGGACTGTTCGTGTCAGCGGTCAATGAATAAAACTTAAGGCATTTGATTTTATCTAAAGCCAAAAAACCTCCTGACCTCAAACAGCTGTACGAGACTTACTTGGGCTCAGCTATTCTATAAATAATGCGTGTATAGAGAACCTCAGTGACAGCAATTCTTTAAATATTAGCAACTTAAAAATGTCTGCATCTCACATTCTATAGATACATATTCGAAACACAAATCAAAGTCTCCGAGTTAATCACTCTAAACTTGCTCGCGCCAACACTTTTTACCTTTCATGATCCGTGGCTGCTGAGGATGTGCCAGCGAAGACACCCCTAGAGGCAGCCTGTTGGATGTTGGCAAAATGGCAGTGGCCTTCTCAAGGGCGAGTCACGAGTTGCATGTGGTGAACGGCTTTCCCCGCCCTCCCACCGTCTCTGCGGAGTGGCGGCATCTGGTGAGTGAGTTGCCAAGAGCTGTGCCTCGACCACATTGCGATTTTTTTGCTGCGGTTTTGCACACCACATTCCCATACTTCCACCATCCAAGCACCATGCCTTGCACACAACATGTGAATCCCTCGGTGTCTTCTATGAAATAAAATATTTTGCCAAGAAACATTCTTCTTCAAATTCAGGCTCCCATGTAAATTTGCCAGGTCAATTTCCTTGCAGTCTGTAGACATAACCGTGATACATAACACACGCATATGCCAGCCCAGGAGCGATGGCCAGAACATGCACGGCTGACCGAGAGAGGGTGGCAGGCATACCACACTATGGTCACGACTTTGACAAAGCCAGAAGATGACAGAGAGATCGACGTTGTGGATTTCTTCAACGCGCCATCGCACTGGAACACTTTGCTGACCTCTCAAAGGGCGACAGACGGCCAATCACGATCCTTGGCCAAAATATGCCAAAACAACAAGCATGCCCCCAAACAATGATTAGTTTTCATCCGCTTGGACAACATTGATCCTTTGCAATGCAACTTAAATGGAGAAGATCCTTCTGTGAGAACCAAATCAGATCTCCCACTCTATCACCTGAGATCTTCCCAACCAGTAGTACCGGACAAGGCGGTGGTGGAAGTTTCAAAGATGAGAAACATATAGGACAGGTTCGTTGCTGTGAATGATGGATGGCAGAAAACCCAGTGATGGAATGACAAGTGGTTGGAGGCTGCGCAATGTAGTTGTAATTGAAGACAACTTGTAGTCGTGGTTTAGTTCTAGAGGTAGTTGTAATGAATTTGTATTTGTATTTGTTGTGCAGTGCAATGTAGTGAAGTTGTAGTGGTTAGTGTGGTTCTAGTTGTAGTTGTGGTGGTTGTACCTGTAGCTGTTGTAGTTGTTGTAGTTGTTGTCATTGTAGTAGTTGTAGTAGTTGTTGTAGTTGTAGTTGTCATGGAATTGAAATTGTAACTGTAATTGTCATTGTAATTGTAGCAGTAGTAGTAGTAGTAGTCGTAGTAGTAGTAGTAGTAGTGGTAGTAGTAGTAGTAGTAGTAGTTGTTGTTGTTGTTGTTGTTGTTGTTGTACTTGTTGTTGTTGTACTTGTTGTTGCAGTCGTTGTGGTTTTCGTTTTCAGTTGTAGTCGTCGTCGTCGTGGTCGTCGTCGTCGTCGTCGTTGTTGTGTTTGTTGTTCTAGTGGTATGGTATTTTCACTTGTAGTTCTTGTAGTAGTTGCTGTTGTGGTGGTAGTAGTGGTAGTTGCAGTTGTAATCGTAGTGGTGCTGTGTTGTAGTTGTGTTTGTACTTGTGCTTGTACTTGTAGTTATGATATAGTCACACCCAAACTTGAAAAATTGACCCGAGACCCGCAGTGTTTACCACTTTTGACTTGGAAATGGCCTTCGCGCCACAACGGTTTGCACTTTTGCGACATCGACTCGCCGTGGAATCGTCAAAAAGTGCCCCGAACCCCACTCAGTTTTTTACACTTCTCACTT